TTAGATGAATGAAAACTGATATCGGCGTTTTAGCTGCCGAATTAAGTATTACAATGTGAACTTTGTAATAAGAAATTGAAATTCATTTTGTTCCGACCGATTCGACGATTTTCGAGTCATGTATAGGGGTAATGCCAATCCAATTTCAATATTTAGTTTAATAGTTATGTCGAAAATTTTATATACCCTTAACACTTTAGTCAGATTAACATAACCAGAAGGACCCCATATTTATATCGCTGTTTAGGTATCATCTCAGAACTAATTCTCAACATTATTTGTGGAATACTTAACAGTGCTTCTTAAGCGAGATTGTACGAACAACGGTTCCATTTTAATGGAAATTAAATTCTAGAAATGTTGAAGMTTTGTGCTCAACAAACTTCATCTCTACACTGCCTTTATTACTCTTAGCATGCTATRTTAAGATGAACGAAAATATTACAAWCTGTCTATATGGRTTATGACTCAGMTGAAGAACGTTATGAGSMGAAAAAATCTTAAAATCTTTAATATCTAAAATAAAAAATGTCAGAATTGGCACTGAATATAYTACAATGGGCAAAAGATAGTARGACTCTTTAAYTTCAAATTAGARGTTCTATTAAATTTTGTGTGCGTTATCCACGAACCAKAAAGGAATTGATGCTTGAGTATCGATGATTAGTAGTCAGAGATMTTATTAGCAATCTTGGAATATCGGAAGGATCAGTGAAAACCATTTAGAAAGATCATTTGGATCTAAGAAGAGTGAAAGTACGATTGGTTCCAAAATCACCAAATTTTTCTGAAAAATAGCGTCGCGTTAACGTCTGTGAAACAATGCTTTCCGACTAGCAGGATATCATGAAATRTATTATTATTGACGATCAGTCTTGTATCTACACTTTTGACCCGGAAGCAGGTGATCAATCGGCCGAATAGCGTGGCAAAGGTGAGCCGACGGTGAAAAATCTAAGACAAAGCAGATCAAAAATCAAGATTATGTTGCTAGTTCCTTCGATTATCGAGGTGTGGCCCCCTCCGAATTCTTCCGATCGGCCAAACCGTCAATAAGGAATAGCTTTTGAGTGTTATGCGCCGTTATGGGCAGACAACTCTTGTTTTTGCAACACGATAATGCGCGTCGCATACTGCATTGATGACTTCGTGAGTTTTTCGCCAAATTTTCAACCAATATCATGCCGCAACTAGCGTATTCGCCTGATATAGCTCCGTGTGACTTCTGGTAGTTCAGCAAACTTAATCGACCGCTCCGGGGAAACCATTTTCAGTCAATTGAAGACATTACCCGTAAATCGCTACCCGCATTAAAGGCTATGTCGCAAAATTACTTAAACGACGGTTTCGAGGATAGGACAAAACGTTGACAGAAGTGTACTAGGGCCCAGAGAGACTACGTTGAGGGGGACGATTCAGATTTTGAAGAGTAATTTTAGGAGTTTTAAAATTATGAACAAAGCTTTACTATTATTTGCTCATAACAGTACGTGTGTATGTAAGTATGTATGCATTTATGAAGATATGTATGTTTATATATGTCTACATCCTTGTGGCATCAACACATCAACCTTTAATACCAAATAACCAATTGGATGCCTTGCTGCCAAGGATATTTATGAAAGCGCAGGAGGGAGCAGCCTTGCATTATCCTTTACTTCTGTCAGGAGAGACAAATGCGCACATAACCGCACATACATACAAACAGACAAACATACATAGATACTTACAAACGAATATAGGCGCACTGGTAATAAGTAGAAAGTAGAAGCAGCGGCAACAAATGAAACTACTCACCATTAATCACGTGCACCATGACGCTGGCACTGCTCGCCGTTGTCGGCTGACAAGTGTAATTCCCTGTATCCGTTGTCTGTGCATTCGAGATGCGCAACCTGATGATGAGCGCGATGAAAAAGCAGCAGAAGAAGAACAAGAGGCAGAAGAGTGAGCATATTAATGGAGACATAAACAAGTTGACGCTTATGTGTGTGTGTGTGTGTAATGGATGTGTGTGAAATTGCAAGACGCGATGCAAGTTCGCTATGGAACGCACGCTAGTCAGACGCTGACGCGATAAATATGTGCAGATGTGTGTGTGTGTGTGCCGGTTGACATCGCCAGGCAAAGGAGGCACCTTAAGATATTGAGGCAATGAATTGAAATGTAAAGGCTCAAATATTTATTTATGTTGCGCCGCACAGTGTAGTCAAAGCCAAAGAGACAAGTGCAGGCGCACATACACACCCGTAGCACACACACACACACACACATTAACGCACTATGACGGCACATGCAACAGTGGCTGCATGCCGCACAAAGGTAGGCGACAGTACTTTGCCACATGCATTTGCATGTTGACATGCTCAAAGAGCCGACAGGTCTGACAGCGCTTTCCATTTCACCTTTGGCCGCTTAAGCGCTGGCGCTACCGCGTCACCTCCTCCTGCATCGCCACATCACACCTGMTTGTGGCTTTTGGACAACCGAAGTGTTTCCGTTGCCGCGCCGATTTACCTTGATTTCATTGTGTCGCCCAACTGTGATTCCATGGCGATGCGCGCCGTGAAATCCGGCGTTATGTCGTTGCTTAAGCCATCGTGCGGCGCTGTGACCGCCATTGCGCTCGAGCCACCAGCAGCAGCAGCAGTCAATGCCTTGGCATTTGTTATCGGCGCTGTCACATCAGCAGCCAGCTCGTTGCCCGTCAGTGCTGGCGTGGACATGTCACCACCAACGTTGCTATGACTATGTTTGTTCTTATTGTTGTTGTTGTTAGTGTCGCTGTTGCTCTCTTCATCTTCGTCCAGCTCGAATGGCGTAATTATATGCTCGCCGCGATACCAATAAATCGGTCCAATATCACGAACGCTCGGCTGTTGCACATGACAGCTGAGTATGATTGCGCTGCCGACTTTGAAATGCAGATCGGCCGGGCCGCTGATGATGGCGCGCGAATCGGCGGGTATTTCTGTGGTGATAAAAGCAGAGCATACATGAGTAAATATAAATAGTGGTTGAGAAAACAACAATAAAAAATAAAGAGAAATAATGTGATAATAAAATACCGATGAATGTGTGTGTGTATGCGGTCGTGTATGCATATGTGATATATATATATATATATRTATATAAATCTGTGGYATCTTATATGTATATGCATGTGTAAATATTTGTGCTTCCGCAAATAAGGTAAAAATAAAATTATTTCAATAAGGAAAAGTAAATTCACAATTGTCAATTCAACAGGATTTCTTAAAATACAACAACTGCAATAACAATTATCTGCAAACAATAAACAAGTGCAATATACATAKGTATTGCATACTTAATTTTATAAATATTTGCGAAAAATCAGCACCGATTTCATTTACAAAGAAAAAAAATATTATAAAAGAAGTAAGGAGGATCAAAGTTCGGACAAACGCGGAAAAAGAAATTATTCTACGAATTGTGGGCTTAGCAAAGAGAACTTCTTATTATGTGAAAATTTGGTGATATGGCGATTTATTGCTCCATATAAAGGCCCCATTTAGCTCGAACATTTTTTTAATTTTTTTTTATTTCTGTCACAAATATTGTTTGCATATTTTCGTTATTCCTATACCTAGTTTTCGGTCTTCATTGGAACGCGTATTTTGTCTTTTTCCTTCATATAATGCTGGAAGAATTTCAGCTAAGGCACCTTTTTTCCAAGGATCTGCCGAAAATTACGTCATCCAGTTAAGTTTTGAATATTTTACTTTGAAAGTTTCACAATTTTTGTTCTTTAATTTCATAAAATTTTGGTGTATTTTTTGTATCTTTGAAGCCATAAAAAAATTTGAATAAAATATTTAATTTTTTATATAAAAAAAATATATATACATATTGAAAACAGACCGTTTTTTTTTTTCGAGGAAACCTATGTAAAGCCTTATCTCTACTGAAAATGCGGTTTTTGGAAATATTCAAGATAGGTTTCTAAAACAGCGGTAACATACTCATTCGACTAAAATTTCTGTCCGGCAAGTAACTTTTTTAAATTGGGATAAACCTTGATAATACTTTGAATGGGGTACTTTAATTCGACCAATTTCGACATGGAGGCGCCCTTTTTCCACKGTTCGACGCCTAATAAATAAGCATTGTATAGCACTACGATCGATTTCTTCGAGTAATCGATGTAAGTCWCACTTTTCGAACCCCAAAAAATGGTAGTCATCACCTTTCCAGCCAAACGAAGACAGTTTTTGGCCGCTTCGGCTTGTTAGTTGAATGAAAACTAGTGTTTTGACCAATCCAAGGTATTTAGTATGTATAAGTGGATCCAAACTGCATGGACGGTCACGATACAACGCGGACGCTTTTACGAATTGTGATTAAAGAGCGTCACAGACTGCTGTGAAATGATATCTCGGCGGTACTTGTTATCAGGAGTTGTTTGTGTATCGACAAATTCTGCCGAGTTAACAGTCCTTGGCCGGATAAAAATCCGGGTCCGGTTATGTAAGCCCGACGGTCATGGGARCAGTGTTATCCGGAGCACCCATCCCGTCGACAGCTGGCTCATGCTCAATATTTCCAACTGCAATAATCTTTCCTGTGCTATATTACCAAAAAGGTCTATTGACATGCCTTTCGACTTAGCACTAGCAATCCTTCTACCGGCTGTCCGCCAATATAAGACAGCGGAATTTTATCATCTTATCCTCACTGATAGCCGTTTACGGCGGACCTGGCAGTGGCTCATCTAACAGCATGAGCGTTGGAAACATTGAAACTAGCTTAACCAAATTATGTGGTGCCGATCTAAGGAGAAGCATCAGCGCATAAAATTTGTTGATTATATTGCTGAACTTCTCTTTCAAAAACAAAATTCGAATCATCGKTCTATATTTCTCTCCTTCAAAATTTTTAAATCTACAGGTATCGAATCACCGACCCTGCCTTATTTAAAATCCGCGAGAACGTCATTTCCCACACGCAGTCYAAACAAAAGTACGAGTCCGATTCAAATTGAATTATTAAAGCAGTTGTCTGCAAGAATTTACTAGAAGATAAGAAGTTTCTCTTGTGAGACCCAGATTATAAGAACAAAAGCGCGAAATTATAGGTATTTATTGCAATTCAGAGCGCATTAGAGAGAATAAAATTGTATGAATTCATCCAAAATGTAGGCAACGTTTTATGYCTGACATATGAATTTAATGTTGCCTACATTTAGGAACCAATTTCAATATTAATAATCGCATAACAGCAAAGTCGCTAAATAAGAGTAAAACTAAGAACTTATTGGACCAGCCTCGCAATTATTATTGATCACCACATTGAATGTGTTAAGAAGAAACGCGCCAATATCGAAGCAAAGATGTTACTATGAAACGTGCTTCACATTCTTTTCCCCTTTAATTTTGTATATACAAATGGCTGCAGTGAGCACACTTGAGCCCTTCGCTTGCATATCTTTATGCAGACCAACYGCAGAAAGTCGGTTGTGTCTTGTGAGCTCATAAGTAATTTAAAAATTTATTATTTTTGTGTATTAAAATCATTTTTTCGTGCCACAAAGAAAGCTTTCCAATTTGTAATGCTGACATACACACATATATAGACGGTTGGTTGTGCGAACGTTATATAGTGGAGCTCGCATGGAAATGCTGTTCCGGCTGCCGGCAAGACCGCCGATTCCGAAGCTAATTAGCGAGGTTGCAATTGCATTSAGGCGCCKCACAGATGAGCAGTGGTGGCTTTTTGGCTTTGCCGGGCCACAATAAGCCTCTGCATTCGCCAATTTGCGGTATTTTTGCGTGCAGCAGATTTTTTACATAGGCGAATGCATAGTTTAATTAGGCGCCGAAAAAAGTAAGGCGACCGGCAAGCGGGAGAGCGGGCAAGCTCTGCCAAGTTGTCTTAATTAAAACTCTGCAGCTCAGCCGCAACTTTAATATTGTGCCACTTCCTGTTAGTTGCAAGGCAAATTAGCGCATATTCAAGGCCATTAAAAAGTCATGGCGCATAAAGTACGAAGAAACGCCGCATAAGAATTTAATTTGCATGCACCAAAGCGGTGGAAAGAAGCAAGGCGTTGGGGGGGAGAGGAATTACAACACAAACGTCTTTGCGCTTTTAAATTGCTGGCTGCTGYAATGCAAATAAGAGTGCGCTTTAAAACAACACACCGTTACTCGTCGTTCTTATTTTCTCTCTGGTCCATGTTGCTTTTTACTGGAGCAACTGGCGCTTGGCTTGATCTGCAGTGCAACTAAATTGCAAAAAAAAGTCAAAAGTAATTTGGTTAAACACACAAACAACCAACATTGGCGAGCATAGTTTAATTAACTCTTAATTGTGGACACATATTGTGATCAGCTGGTGGAGTAATTGTTCTGGTATAGCAACACAAAAATTCTGGACCCAGATTATAAKAACAAAAGTACGCAATTATAGGTATTTAATGCAATTCAGAGCGCATTAGAGAGCATACAATTGTGTGAATTTATCCTAAATGTAGGCAACGTTTTATAACTAGCATATAAACTTAATGTTGACTACATTTAGGAACTTGCTTCGATTTTTATATTTTAATAATTGCCTAACCGCAAAGTCACATAAAACTTTAAATGATATACATAGGTTCGCTTTTATATATCGGTATTAGAGAACAATAATATTTTGAATAAATTTAAAAAAAATCACAACTATATTCGAAAATCGATTAATTGTTTTTCAATCAAAATATATATGTTTTGGCATGCGTTTCAAACATTTTTCGAATCACGATTGTGGTGTCTCCAAAACATGCGTTCTGAACGCGTCAAACGCCTCTTTTGGTGCCGAAAAACTTTGACCCTTTATTTATTTTTCACGTATGGGAATAAAAAGAAGCCATTCGGTGMCATGTCAAGACTTCCRTGACTCATCAARTCGATGTTTTGAGGACTCAAACAGACAGTTGATCATCGAGAGCTCTCATTGTCATGCTGAAGAGTGAGCCATATTCGACGGTTGGTTCTGTCGACTGTTTTTACGATATCATCGACTCAATCCATCGGCTGTGTGGGATCTAAAGTGATTTTTCTTTATAATAAAATTTTTATACAATATTAAACGACGCTGGTCCCACTAATGCCTACASTCTCGATATCGAGATAGGTTACATGTCGATCTTGAAATATCGGTTTGCGTACATCATCAATATTTTCCGGAACAACAATTGATTTTTGATGACATTCACGAAATTCGCCTTATAGAGCGACCTGGATTGAATTCCCCTACTAGCTGTAAATAGTGGTCCTTAAGGGGGCTATATTGTCAAGATATGAATTAAGTTTATCGATGCACTATTGCTAGGTTGATCCTTGTCGAAAKATGAAAAAAAAATCGTTCGAAAATGTTCGCAATTTCATTCACTTTTTAGTCCGAGGTGAATATTTTAAGTTACTGTAAGAAACAAAAGCGTTCGTATGTCAAACAGTTCTGAGTATTTATAAGAAAAAAGTGTTACATTTTACGATGAAGYTACCAGATTGTAACACCAGAGTTGTCAAATCCCGAAATATAAAAGCAACGTATGTATTGGCATGTTCGGAATTTTTTTAATTTATTTAGTACTTAGTTTATAGAAGCTAACAGCAATATTCATTATATAGACGTATGCTTCCCTTGTGGTAACTCAACCATAAGACATCATATATGCTCCGATCACTGATAATATTATTTATCCCTACTTTAAATTTCGTACATTCACATCTCACTTCTTTCTTCGCTTTCTCTTAAAATCACATCCAATAAAACTTTCTCTCTTTTAATTTGTCGCGTTGATTCCAATGCTGCGTGTCCATGATGTATTGCAAGGCAAATAGAAATATGACGAAAACACTGTTATTAACACTTGCTCACGCTCAGCGTGCTAATTAACATGAAATGCTTTGCGGCGACAGAAAACACATTTAAATGGCAGTTATAAAATGTACTGTTTCGCTAGATTTATCAGATACACATACCATGGTACATATATAAATATAAGACCTCGAAATAGCGGCATTTTAGTGCGAAAAATTGCGAATGTTTAACGAAATTAATCAGTTGTCGGAACGCGAGCGGCATTTGGCTGTATAAATTTGCATATAAATTGAATGTTCGTGTGTGTGAATTTGTGGCCTTTTAATTTTATCGATTCTTTTAATTACCCAGAAGAGATTTTTTCATKTGACATTTTCCGCCATCGCTTCTGTGATTCCATTAATTTGCGTTCGCAAATTTGCAAAGTTGCATTTAAGATTTTTTAATGCGCTCCCATCAAGAAATTGCGAGCGAGCAATTTATTTTAGCAAATGTAAAGTGATGATTAATTGTGGTTTTGTGACAGCAAGCTGTAGGTCATAAACTGAAGTTAATTTTATAATTAATTAATAATAATTATTTATTTATTTTAATATGACCTATAAATAAATTCACAGACATATCAGAAAAACAAAGGGAAAGTGGCTGCTTAGGCCTTCGTCCCAAATGWATTAATGCCGAAGGTGGTTTGTGTCTTTGCTGATTTTAGACTATCATAGCTGATTTAGAGTCATCGGTCATTTGWTAAAGTATTAGCTTAGACACACACCTTAAGGGACGTCATTACAGAAAATCGAAAATTTCAAATTGCAGTCAAATGAAGACGGAAGTATGTAGGTAATCTATGATTAACAACTCAAATTTGTGTATGAGCTAAAATGTTGCAAAAATACTTCGGAATGGCCACAAAACGATTCGCGATGTGGACTTGGCAGTACATGGCGCATGAGTGATGCGCGTATTACAACTGAGGATTTTACTGCAAACACGTATTTTGCTACAATTGGTATGATYAAGCTGTCTGCTTTTGATATTGATATTGATTGACAGAAAAATTATACTGGATAAACTGGGACTTCCTCTTATATACTTGTTATACACCTTTAAGCTTTGTTTTAATTGMTGTACCAATTACATTAAAATTCTATGTATCGCGTTGCTTATTCAAGTGGCGCATCAGCGACCACCTGTTTCTAAAACTACAACAATTTATTCATAATTTTTTTCGGCGCTCATTTTTCTGCCTATCAGCATATTGTCACTCATACGCACCGCTGAGCAGGTAAATTGGACGACTCTTCCACTTAAATGTGTAATTACATAAAAGTCATATAATTATGGAAATGTTATGACAATAATAGTATGCGCATGTGATTTAGCATTAAACATTAATATATTTTTTCACTATTTTTTTTCAATACACATTGGGACAAAAACAGTGAATTATTCATTGCATTTTGACATTTCTCTCTWTTCCTGTAAATATATTACAAACAAAAAAGCTTAACTAGAAGTTTTGTTGAATATTTGTCTCAAAACAGATATTGGTAATATTAGAAATATTTTCAATCAAGGATATGAGGCCCGTTTCGATTTGCTATTTTCTGAAAACTGAAGTTCCTTTATCGAACGGATATTAGTGAGAAGCAAAACGCGTCTCAAGTGCGCCGTCCCACTATTTCTGTTAATGACAAGCATCATCGGAAAAGCAAGGTAAATTGATTCCTAAAACCATGTTGTGAGTCTCAATAACTCTTAAGTATCAACTCAAACAATTTTAATTAATATTTTCGCTATGGAAGACGACAAGACACACAAAAAAATAATTGTTTATTCAACAGATTTGACTCTTTATAAATGTCTATAGTTTCAGAAATTCAAAGATGCTTTTAGGGAAAGAACCTTTAAGCTGTTTGAAGTCAAACAAAGAATTTCAACAAATTACTGAAGACCTTAGTTACAGAGAAATGAACACATTTTAATTTTCGAAATAAAGTATTGGTTCTTATTGATATTTGATTCTTGAAAATTTCATACATTTTCTTCTTCCGCAAAGTGTCGCTGACCGTAAAAATTATAATTTTAAATATGTTTGACTCTGCGCTGGCAATTTTTGTTTACTCCCGCCTAGCCAAAAAATAAAGCTCTCGAAGCAGAAAAATACAAAATTGCAAATTTCAGTAAATATATGTATATTATAAATGTAACAAAAAAAACTTTACGCGTATGAGGTTGAGAGCCAAGAGTTTGCACGAAATGTAGCGTAATTTGCTAAACAAGCGTAATTATGGCTTTATTTGTTTACGCCTATGACGTAATTATATACTTACGCCGTTAGGCATATGTGTCAAAACATATCGTGTCATCTGATATGCTTATATGCATGTATATGTGCTCAATAACGGCTTATTTAAATCGTATGCAAATTTCTCGCTATCGAATTAAACGCAAATAAATGTGACCGATTTATTTTAATACTAATATTTTGCCACAATTTATTTGCATTTATTTATTTAAAGCGTTCGTGTGTGTGTGTGTATATGTGGAAGACAGTTTACATAGTAATAATTGCCGAAGTATGTTCAAATATGAGAGTGCTAGCGGAAGTGCATATGCAAATATGCAAAGCATTTAAATTGAAACATTTTGCAGGTTTTGGAAAAATTACTTTTTTTATCTAAATATTTTTTTATGAAATATTTTTATACCCTGAACAAGGTATATTAAGTTTGTCACGAAGTTTGTAACACCCAGAAGGAAGCGTCGGAGACCCTATAAAATATATATATAAATGATCAGTATGTTGAGCTGAGTCGATTTAGCCATGTCCATCTGTCTGTCCGTCTGCCTGTACATATGTACACGAACTAGTCCCTCAGTTTTTAAGATATCGTTTTGAAGTTTTGCAAATTTTCCTTTTCTCTTCAAGAAGCTGCTCATTTGTCGGAACTGCCGATATTGAACCACTATAACATATAGTTCCCATACAAACTGAACGATCGAAATGAAGTTCATGTATACAAAACTTTCACATTTGACAACGTATCTTCACAAAAGTTGGCACAGGTTATTTTCTAAGATAATACTGTAATATGCGAAGAAGTTGTTCGGATCGGCTTGCTATAGTATATAGCTGTCATACAAACTGAACGGTCGGAACCAAGTTCTTGTATGGAAAACTTTTGCATTTGTCAAGATAAATTCACGAAATTCGGTATAGATTATTTTCTAAGACAATAAAATGTGATCCGAAAAAATTGTTTCGATCGGTTAGCTACAGCATATAGCTGCCATACAAACTGAACGATCGGAATCAAATGCTTGCATGCTAACCCTTACATTTGACGATATATCTCCACGAAATTTGGTACGAATTATTGTTTATAAAAATAATGTAACTTTGGAAGAAATTTCTCAGATCGGCCTACTATAGCATATAGTTGCCATACAAACTGAACGATCGGAATCAAGGGCTTGTATGGAAAACTTTTGCATTTGTCAAGATATATTCAAGAAATTCGGTATAGAATATTTTCTAAGGCAAAAAATTGTTCAGATCGATTAGCTATAGCATATAGTTGCCATACAAACTGAACGATCGGAATCAAGGGCTTGTATGGAAAACTTTCGCATTTGAAGTGGTTTCTTCGCGAAACTTTACATGGAATACTACTTAAGGTAATAACATAATCTCCAACTAAATTGTTGAGATCGGATTACTATAGCAAATAGCTTCCATACAAACTGAACACATAGTTACTAAAAGAAATGCACCTGTGAAGGGTATATTAGCTTCGGTGCAGCCGAAGTTAGCGTTTAAATATTTTTTGTTTTTTTATTAAAATACTTTTTTTATTAAAATATTTTTTTATTTTTATAAAAAAGGTTATACCTTTGTGATCGATTTTTATATTCCAAAACGTGATAAATTTAACCCAGACTTTTGCAAAAGAAACTGCGTTTCCACCTTAGTTACTTTGTTTATATGTCATATACTTTTGGTTGTGCGAATAAGTCCAATTTTTTGCCAAATTGAAGTCATTTGCGGGAAGAACTGATAAATACTGGTCCTTGAATGGGCTACATTGTCAAAAATTCAAGTAAATTTATCGCGCGGAAATTTTTGCAATTTAATTCCGTTTTTTGGCCGAGGTGAATATTTTAAGTTACTGTTAGAAACACGCATAGCGATCGTATGTCTAAAAGTTTGAGTATTTATAAGAAAAATGTGTTAAACTTCGTGACAAAGTTACCAGATTGTAATACCAGAGTTACCAAATGCCGATATACTATAAAAGCAACCTACGTATTGGTATATGTCGGGTCGAAACACAATATTTAGTACTTAATTTAAAGTAGCTAAGATTGAGAGTTTTCTAACAGCAATGTTGATTATATAGACGGAAAGTGTTGATTTTCTTCTTTCAGTCCCGGCAATTGCCGGCTGAAGTACAGCAGGAACTCCAAAAACTTTACGATGTTTCTACTCCAAGTGAAACAACGTTAGGTCACTTTATGGACCATATTAACGGCCGAAAGGAAGGCCAAATACCTACGAAGACGGTGAATAACCAACGTTGCTCAATCAGGAGCCGAGTGAAACACAAGAAGAACTAGTTTCAGCATTATGAGTCACCAGCCAAGCAATTTAAAAGCGACCGCATGCGCTGCGAATGATTCAGAGCAAGAAAATTGGGTTCTTTATAACCTCCAGGCCACGCGCCACGAAAAGTGACTCTGCTGCATGACAAGGCTCGGCCTCTGGAAACGTTGTAGTCTGTATAATCAAGGGGTGTGGATGGAGTCATGTGTGGAGAATGCAGTCATGTGTACTCCGTGGCAAACCTAATATTACCCGTTCAGGACAATATATTAGAATAAGTGGTATGGCGGCGTCTCTTTAAGGAACCTTTATACAGGCCTTGTTATGTACGAATTTAAAAGCAAATGTCATGAAAATTATATATCTACATACCTATAGTATATTTGTAGCATATTCGCACTTACCAATGATATTCAATTGAAATGCCATTGACATTTTTGGTTCGGTATTCACTTGACATTCATAGATGCCGGTGTCACGAGCCTGGGGCGATTTCACATGCAATGTCCATTCGCGTCCATCTTTCGACGAAGTTACCTGAAATGGAAAAAATATTTCACATATCTAAATATGTATATGTGTACGTATGCGTTTGCATATGCAATAAAAGTGGATATAAAGTGCAGTTGCCGTAAGTCAATAAAAAATATGAAATTTACGATAGCAGCTTGATGCAGCAATGACATAACTGGTGACAAGTTGGCTGCAGATGCACGTATCACTTTAATGGTTATAACTCCCTTTTGTAAATTGTTTATTCGATCCAAATTTTGTTTTGTTGATAGGGCCTGCATGCAGAGAGAGCATCTCTCATAGGCGTGTGATTTACAAAATAGTAGGGAATTTTACTCGGCAACTCGGCTATAACTGCATAAGCGGTGTCTACGCCAATAAAGAAGATGCTTTGTCTGATTTTCGGATTTCACTCGTCGAAATTGTATGAAAAATTCTGGATTGTAGAATAATTCTACCACTGCCTTTTTTAAGGCTTTGTTATGAGAGAGGAAGAAAGAGAAATCGATCGTTGGTTGAAAGAAATGGAAATAGATCGAAGGGATTGATCGGAAATAATGAGGAGTATCATTCTTCCTCGCCTTTCATACATCTTTATAAGTGAGTTTACGCTACGTTTCGGGGTTGATTACAAGCCTTTGTCTATCACAAAATGTGTTGAGACAATGGCTAAAGCAGTGAGAGTTAATGAAATCAGTCTGATTGAAAGATTAATGGCTCTTCATAGACCGAATCAATTCCATATTTGAGTAACATTTTTGTTTCCAAAAATAATACTTCGTTCAAGCTCGCTTACTTTATAGGAACTTATCGATCAACCCTTGAAATATTAACAGCACAATTGCAAACTGCATTGAAAATTCTACCAAATGGCATTTCCAACATCGTGAATAAAAGATGCACATGCATACATACATAAATAAATATGTACATATACGAAGTAATGGAACTCGGCTTTATGTAGGACATCCAATGATGGACAATGCAGAGACTTATGTATAACTGCATATATATACATAACAACATGTACGCATATATATATTTACACACACTCGATTATGTACTCACTACATGAGTGCTGGGGTATTAGCAGATTGTGCCGTTGGAAGGAATTAAGATCGATGAAGTTGATTGAAATGTGTCATTTACCTGCAGTTGAGTGGGTGTAAATACATATTAAGCTGCACTTGTTAAACATAGAGGCGGGGAGCCTGGTGGAGGAGACGAATATAATTACATGCGTTGCAGCATATAACGAGTCGATTCTGAAAACACGATTAAGTTTTCGACTTGTGAATGAGACATATAATTTTCAATCTATTGAGTTCTGAATATTACATCAGACGGGATTTAATTACGTTGTTTAATGACTTTCGAGAAAATCGTTATTTATAACTAAAATTGTTTGTGTACAGGGTTTGTCCGGAAAGTAATAGGACTGAGTCGATTTGAAAAAATTTATTGAACCGCCCGATTTCCAAGCATTGAAGCCATCACGGAAGGCATTTTCCGGAATAGCTGCCTTTGTCGTCTCAAAATGTTTGTCTTTCATTCACATTTTCAGTAAAAAAAAACAAAAAAAGAAAAAAAAGTCCGGGGGCCACATCACGGCTGTAGGACGGTTACAGAAGCGTTGGGATGCCGGTCTTGGTTAGATAGCTGTTCACAAAAAAGACATTGTGAGACGCAGCGTTTTTGCGGTGCAACTTCCAATCGGCTGCGATGTCTTGTCCGACCCGATTGAATCTTCGTTTGAGTCTTTTGAGCACTCCACGTAAAATTTTGTGTTGATGGTCTGTCCAGGTGGAACAAATTAATAGTGGACGATGACTTTGATGTCAAAAAAGACAATGAGCAACGTTTTCACTTTCAGTTTGATTACTCTTCCCTTTGGCACTTGGAAGATTGCCTCTTTGTATCGGGATCATACTCAAAGATCTAGGACTCGTCACCTATGAGTAAGTTATTCAAAACTTGGGGTCACTTACACGCATGTTTAAATTTTCTTTGCACACTTCCACTCGCCTTCGGCTTGCACCACCCACAGAAACACTTCGCAACGGCAGAAAATCAGTCCTATTTCTTGTCGGACAAACTTTGTATAAATTCGAAGGTATTCCAGGAAACTAGGGTCGTTTCCAGCATAAAAACGGTTGTAGCTTCTGATCTTTTCATTATTTTTAAGCTTTTCTTTAAATAGTAGGCTTATTCGAAAAAATAGCACTCTTTGTTCCATTTTGGCAACAAAAACTAAAACTGCAAAGTCAGTTTTTTCTCCTCTTTCCTCCTCCCTGACACCGGGTGATCACATGCAAACTATTAGCCTCATTACTTTTACTTTTAGGTTTATTTAACCCAAGCATTTATAAAAACCCACTTGTCTGTGCATATTGACCTACATATATACAAGCACACCTACCTCTATGTGAGGGTAAATACACAGTTCAAACGAATTATTAATTTGTTAGACAAGTGTTAAGTAGCTCTCGGGCTCGTGTGAACCGTGTGCGCTCACCTGAAAGCGTTTATCCGATGTGTACGTCGCCGTGGCTACGGTCAGTATATGCAAATCACGTTTACGTATCCACGAGACCTGTTGACGTCCGCCCATCCATTCAGCCAACCAGCAAACCCACCAGCCATCCATCGCATTACAGACCACCAGCGCGAGCATAGCGTTCCAAGGTAGTCAATGAAGCCGCACCGAGCGTTGAACGTACCGAAAGCGAAGCACCGAGAAAGAAAATTGAGAAAAAGTGAGGTTAGTGAATGAAAATGGAAAGTTTGACATACAAAGGCAACGTGAATGAATTAAAAAACTACAAAAAATGCGAAAAAAAAAGCGAACAAAAAGCGGCACAACCGCAACCGTAACGGAAGTGGAAAACGGAAATTGATTAATGAGCCTCGATCGAAATGAGAAATGATTGCGAGGGTTAAGAGGAAATTAAATAAAACTACCATTGATGTGGCATTAAAATGCGAAGTGACGCAGCAGCGAGTCAATCAGTCGTAAACAGCATTCGGTGCCAAAAAAGTGGATGTGTGTGTGTGAGCAGACACTCAAAGGTTATGGCGTTGAGTAGCGCTCAAAGTATCCCCCTTTTTCGGGTTTTACGTTCGTTTGTTTTTCTGTGTTGAGAGTTCAAGTAAAATGGCAAAAACCACAAAAGAGCATATAAGTGGGCGACACAAGTGGGCTCCGACAGTTTTCGACCTCCTGCACACTGTGGCGTGTGCATAGTCATTTTCGTACTGTTTACATTTGCAACAATGTGAGAATTTTTGTGTTAACGCTGAAATGGTGTGTCTGCAGGGTATTTGAGTTAAAATTAAAACACCTTTATTAAAAATTTAGGAACAGTATTTATCTTAGTCCCGTATGTGGCTATATAAATAGTATATTTTAAAACGAGGAGGAATTTTCACTTGATTGAAAACTGTACCGAGCTTTATACCCTTCATACGTATGAGCATTTTTGACAACATAAAAGGGAATACGAAGATACTGATCGCAATTTTGATTGTATTACTGCCATATGCTATAGATCCCGATCTTACAAATTTGTTCTGGACAATATTCTATGCCATATTTCGTAAAGATAGTTTGTAAAATAAACAGGTTTACCAGAGAAGAATTGATTTTGATAGGTCAGTTCTTATGGCCATTATCTGGTAGACAGGTCCGATATAAGCGAATACGACAAATTTGTAATATCTTCAGGAGAATTATATATGTGCAAAATTACAGTCTGGTTTTTCGACGAAAACCTGCGACAAGAAATTTTCACAGGCTTTTTTTGAAGCCAACTTTACTTCATTAAGTAAGTTCTGCATTGATCGAAACAAATGCTAGCCCGATGGTGCATTTATGGTGGATGCATGAAAACGTTCCAGCCAAGCTCTCCCAGTTTTTGCCGAGTCATCAAAGATGTGTGCGCTCTAGCGTGGTTCTATTGGAATACGAAGTCGATTCTGTTGATCAATTTTGTCCCATTTTTTGCAATTKCTTCCTTCAATCGCATCAGGTTTTGATAGTGAAATGTAGAATCAATCGTGAGACCAGCTCATAGTGGATGATTCCTTTCCAATCCCACCAAATACTCAGCATTACCTTTCGTGGCGTCAATCTTGGCTTTGCGAGCATTTGTTGAGCTTCACCACGCTTAGACCCTGACCTTTTTCACACATTACTGTCGTGTTTGATACACTTTTCGTCTTCTGTCACTATTCGCTTGAGAAATGGTTCGATTTTATTTCGTTTAAACAAGGAATCGATGTTAAGTCGGTTCACAAAATTTTTCTCAGACAATTCATGTGGTACCCAAATATCGAGCTTTTTTTTGTAGCCAACCTTTTTAAAATGATTCAAAACCATATGATGATAAATGCTAAGTTCCTTAGCAATCTCACATGTGCTTATGTGACGGTCCTGGCCAATCTTTACCACAATTTCGTCGACTTTTTCAACGATAGGTGCATCTTTCACATCGAAGTTTCCAGAACGAAAGCGAGCGAACCATTGTTGTGCTACACGAACTGACACAGCATCGACACAATATGATTGATAGCACTGGAGATATTTGTATGACTGCAACGATATCTATTGACAAAATACGAAAATACTTTTTGGACTACCTAATATAGTCGGATATAGGGTTCAATAACGCTCAAAATAAATAAAATTGTAAAACGTTGGATGTCAGTTCTGATTAAAGGATCAGGGTCAAATGAAGATCTTAGAAAATATTATTGTAATAATAAAAAATTTGACTGATTTTTAATGAAAAATTACTTCAATTAAATAAAATTATAAAGATGACCAGCAAACTCCGGAATCATTCACGTTCTTAAATTTACGAAGCAGTGTAACTACAAAGTATGTATCTCTATGGGTATTCAACAAACGAGTCATAGCTGTATACAAGCTGTTTGATTTCACCACATCTAATTCATTTCCTACACCTTCGGGTTTTGCACTCTTCGCCCGCTTCCCACCTAAGTTGCCTATGTTCTCTTCTTTGTAATTACATACACTACCATTTTCTGAATACTGTTACCTTAACGCTCAAACCCCTCCACATCTCTGGCTTTCTGTGCTACCTTTACCAATACAAAGCAGCAACCACACTATAGACACCTATCTACATGTATACATACATAGTGCAGGTATGCACCTCGCCATCCACTTACCGACTTATCGTCCAATCGCTCGACTCGGCATTTAATTGCAGCTTCCGCTTGACCGGTACGTGCCGTTATATTACGCGGCAAGCCAAAGTCAAAGATTGGCAGCTGATTTACGTCACCCTGCGCCGCCTCCGCATCCTCAATGATCGAAGAGAGACTCCTCAAGGTGTCGGAGTAACTGCTGCCATTCAACACCTCAATATCCATCATACGGTTGGTACGTATTGGTGGCGATGCCAATGGCGGTGGCTGCGTTGCGGGAGATGCGAGCGTGACGGGCAGCATTGTGTGTCGGTGATTGTAATTATGCGCTGAAGTCGAAGGTAAGGTGCTACTACTGCTGCTACCACTACTCGTGTTGTTGTTGTTGTTGTTGCTGCTATGCGAGTGTTGCCCCAGCCGTTGTTGTGACAGCAAGAGCAATGAGTTTTGCGCCACAAACGGCGCGGCCGTCACCGTAGCAGTTGCCGCCGTCAGTGCGGTGAAGAGGAGACAGCGCAGCACTGAAAATAGTGAAAAGAATTGCGAAAAGAGATAAGTGGAAAATGTCCAAACTGTCTTTGTATGTATATAGGTGTGTGGGTGTGTGTGTGTGGAGTGTAAATGCGCAGCCGCGCGTTGTGCGCTAATTTAATTTCTTCCAGCTCGCTGCTCCAGCTCCTGCCGCGGAATGCAATTTAATTATATTCGTTTCATTATATTTATTCACTATACCTTTATAAATTTTTATGTTCCTAGGTGTTATTAGAAAATTGCGATAACTGAGAAATCTAGGTTATTGGAATTTATAGACGGCAAAGGCTTTGCTTTGCACGACGTCTTGCATTTTACGACGCGGATTTACTGTTATAAAATTTTATCTCGTTGAAAAATTAAATGAAATGAGAGGAACGTTCTCTCTTAAGCTGCTCAAAACACGACGGCTCCGTTGTTTAATTTCTCATTCACGGAACAAAGTGACATTGAAACTGTTGAATCGTTATAAAGATAGCCATGTGCACCATTAAAGCAACTCATTGCGCTAAGGGATTCAAAATGTAAACTGCGGTTAATGAAACTTCTCGTAATCGACTCACAAGATTAGCGATCGTAATTGGGCATTAATTTTAATATATATTTTTTCCTCTGTTTTGGTCCTGTATCTTTCTTCCTATTTCGATATTTTCACTCCCTCTCTCTCTCTTTCCTCCCTTTCTCTTCATATTTTCTCTCTCTCTCTCTCTCTGTGAATCTTTTCTCTATCTCTCTCTGGATATTTCCTCTCTTGATTCCATAGGCCATTCTAGACAACAAATATTTTGTATCTATCGGATGTTTAGGGCATTATAGTCAACCAAGCACTTGACTAATTTCTGGTTGATGGATAAGGGGTTGCTTTATGGGTTGAAGGTAGAAGTAAAAGTTGAATTTATAATTTATTTGGTACAGGAGCTGAGACATCTGTTAAAATCTAGACAAAACTTGCGAGATTTATTTTCATAGGACTTCATTTTTAAATTAGTTGGAAGTTTGACGCCAATAAAGACAGAATTATGGCTTGACTGACGACAAATATCTATCATTCACAGCAATTCAGAGTTATTTTTATACCCAGAACAGAAGTTTTTAACACCAAGAAGAAAATGTCGGACACTCTATAATGTATATACACATATGCAAATGATCAGCTTGACGAGCTGAGCCGATTTAGTCATGTCAGTCTCTGCGTCTTACATACAACCTCAAGAAACCATTGATTTTCGGAAAAGGCAAACGAACAACTGGTACGATGAGAAGTGACTGGCTATCTCGCAACGTTGTAACGTCGACTACAACACGTGCGAGACTGGATATTTATCGAGAGTTGAATACGGAAGCCAGACGCATTTGCAGAAAACAAAGAGAGAGGCCGAAATTCGTGAGTACGAAGAGTTTGACAAGCTGGGCGATAATGTTCGAAAATTATAAAAAAAAGATGCAGAGAAAGAAGATTTCAAAACCGGAGGTGAGCTAGTAACTGATGCTCAGACCACACTGAAATTATGGAGGGAACCCTTCTCCAGCCTGCTGAATGGTAGTGAAAGCAGAAAACCAGGAGATGGTAAACCTGTTACCCCAATCGATGACCATGCAACGGACGTTCCATTGCCCGACCATGAAGAAGTTCGAATTGCAATTACCCCTCTGAAAGTTGAAATTAAGTGTGCTCAGCCCAATTTACAAAAAGGGAGACCCCACGATCTGCGCCAACTACATTGAATGATAACCAAAAGCTCCGTCAGGATCGGGAATTCAGTTTCAGACAAGGCAAGCCGCCAAACTAAATAGGGTAAGTATTATCATTTCTTAGAGTGTACAGTTGAGTAACAAACAGCGAAAAGGAAGAACTACTGGCACGCTGCTCTAAACTAAGTGGTGTCTACGCCAGTAAAGAAAAGAAGGAAGAAGATTCGAGTCGTCACACTTCGAGATTAACGTAAGTTCCCGTCAAATGAAAATGTAAATTAATTTTAAAATATTTTTCAATTCGTTGAAGCTAGGCACATCATCGATTCATCTGGTGATATAAGATAGCTAACAATCTGCCTAAAGAGCTCGTCTTCTGCACAGAAATTGTTTATTCAAAATACTTAATATTCTCCTTTTTATGTTTCGCTGTTCGAGGGTGACATATTGTAAAGTCTATTAAAACTTTCTATGTCCATGTATTACTAGAGAAACTAAGAGGAATAAATTTTACTCACAGTTAGGTATTTGGTATCTGTATGCAGTTAGGTTTATACGTACATATAGACATCTATATTTAGCAGCAGTCTCGTTGACGCCGTAAAAAACGATTTTCAATTAACTTTTAATGACAAGAACACAACACCATCAATACAGCTGTGCAGTAGATCCCTTATTGTTTGTGTGTATGGTTAGCGTATTGTTGGCTTAAAGCCACATTGTGCCACAGTGATTGTCAACTAGTCGACAATAAAACTGCTGCTCACTGAAATTTCCAACTAACTGACTTGCCGCCACACTCACAGTATTTGCATTTGCATTTATTTAGATTTGTGTGGTAAAAGCATAGTAAAGTCGTAAACAACAACAACTTCAATGTACACGCTAATATTTGAAAGTACAGAAGTACATAAATAAAGTGCATTGAAAGTCAAGCTTTCAGAGAGTGGAACACCGTGTACTTAGTGCTGTTGTCGGTGAATTGAAAGCTCGTTCCACAAAAATGTTTTGGTGTGATAATGCAGAGGGTCGGTGAAGGTCTGATACAGTTATTGTAACGGTTTAGCGATGAAGCGTTGTGAACTCTTTACATAAGGCAGAAAGAACCGCGATGTTTGGGTGACATCCATCTGCTTAGCTTTGCTGAATCGCGACTAAGTCGATCAGTTTCTGAAGTGTAAACTCTCTAGGGTAGGGGTCGAATCGTGTAAACTGGCGTAAACGATGGTTAAGCGAGGAGGAACGATCAGAACGAATTTGTTTTGTTTTCAGAAAGATTGGCAGGGAATCTTCTACTATGAGCTGTTTTTTTATGGCCAAACTTTCAATTCAGACCTGTTCTGTCAGCTATGAGACCTCACTCAAAGGACGGTGAACCTATGAACTAATACCGGACATTCATTCATGGATCGAGAGACGACATAGGGACCTGGATTCCCAACTAACCCAAATACTAAGTGGATGTGGGTTTGTGGGTGGGCTTTAGAAGCTACCTGTACAGATTCCAGATTTAGAAGCTACCTGTACAGATTCCAATGACAATGGTCCGAATCAACGTGTTCAGAGTGCTTTGAAGACTCTAAGTAGGATTCCTTTGTTACCCACACTTTTTAAGAGAAACACGTAAAACTACACTCGGTGGTAGGTTTACGGTGAAAAATTTGACGACTCTCTCGTATCAGTCCACTGAGAACTGGAAAGCTTTCAGATTAGGCATCTGTCAGCCTGTGCCATAGAAGGGACTTAAATGTCTTATCACTCCCACGAAGTAATGCTTAATCAGGTGGTTCCGTGGGAGAGTCTGAAGTGGGAGTACATAAGGTTTAGTGGATTGAAGTTTGGAGTTGCCTGAAGAAAACAATCGCTCAGAAACGGAATGCATTGACCTAAAGTAGAGGAATTGTGTTCCCTCTAGAAGCACCGGAGGTTTGGCTGGGAACTTATTAAACGTCCTCAATGTGGTCCAAATCTGGCACCATGTCATTATTATCTGTTTTGTTTATGGCGCATGTTTTTGCTGGCGAAAAATTCGCGTCAAGAGAAGCTTGTAAAAATCGACTTTGAAAAAATAACGACGGTTTCTAAGGGAGTTGCATTATGAAATTATCTTAAAATTGGCAATAGAGTAGAGAGTTATGTCTACTTTGGAACCAGCCCATTGCCAGCTTCGAAATCCAACGCAGAATTGCTCTTGCTAACTGAGTAGGTAATTGAAAAATAAAGTCCTCTCCTGACGAACAAAGACCAAACTTTACAAGTCCCTCAACATTCCCGTCCTGTCCTGCTGTTCGGTGCGGAGGCATGGACAATGACATGGCGAGTCGGTCTTAGGGGTGTTTGGGGGAAAAGTTATGCGGAAAATGTATGGTACTTTACGCATCGGTAACAGCGACTAACGTAGGCGATGAAACGATGAGGCGACATATGTGGAATAAGAATGAAACAAATTATTTTGGCCTAACTAAAATAAGGTGTCTGCCATTGGTTATATTGGGTTGTCAAAAGAGTACTTTTGCGGTATTTTTTATTGAATTTTCAATTGTTCATAACATTTTTTTTTGATGACTCATGCCCAACTCTTGACCGATGCTACGGCTGCTACTATGCCGGTCTCTTTCGACCAACTCAKCGATTTTATCGCAATTTTCGACGACAGGCCTTCCGGAGCGTGGCGCATCTTCGACCACCTCTACACCAGAACGAAAACGTGGAAACCATTGCTGTGCGGTGGAAATTGAAACTGTATCGGATCCATAAACTGCACAAATTTTATTGGCGGCTTGAGATTGTCCACCGCACATAGCTCGTCCTAACGTACACACAAAATATACACTCACATTTTTTCTTTATTAAGTCAAACTTCGATAAAACTTAAACCAAAAACAAAGTGAAGTTATGTACATGGAAGCAAAAAACAAGAAACCCCAAGGAAAAATAACAAACAACTTCTTTTAAGTGAAAGTTAAAGCTGTTGTTAACTTTCGCTTTCATTTTACAGGCTTCCTATTCATTATAGACACTTCAAATGCATGGCTGAGCACATTTCATTTCCTTTTGRCTCTCCATTTATTTATTTCCCTTTTTAGTTTCAATTTACTTGCTGTTTTCATTTTTCGATTTGCAGTGCAACAGTTGTGGCAATGACAATACAGATTTCACTGTCGAACAAACCGCACACACATACACGCACACACGTAAACACACTTTCATTTATATATGTATGTACAGTAAGTATGCTAACGGTACAAATCAAAAAACTACATTTGTTTGTATGGGAAAACAATTAAATGCACATATA